AAATCCAAACTATCATACTTTAAATTGAGAGTTTTCATCAATCCAACTAAGCGTACACTACAGTATATGTTGAGAGCCACCAAGCTGCGAATGAACCCGAATGTATTGTTGCATTCCGGCAAAGTAGAATTATTCTGAAGCAAAAGAATATGGAATTAGGCATATCCGCGAAAACTTCGAAAGTTAAGGATCCTAGGTGAGTTGACAAGACTTTAATATTCGCGCGCTCTATTAACAACAGTACTGAAGACATTCTGTGGTACCATTTATAACTTGTATCAAGTCTTATTCCCGAACAGTCATGTAAAAAATATTTGAAACTCCCACCCATAGCATAGCGAGAGCTAGGTTGGAATAGTACGAACTGCTATACTCTATATATCTAATAGCCTACACCGGCAGACTGATTTAGTTGTGAACTTGATGATGTGGAAAATTTTCCCCACCTCACTTTATCAGAATTACTATACACACCAACCTTCCTCGCTACAGATCCTTATGATTTTGTAAATGTCTCACACGATGAATCCCTCCAAAGTGTAATTAATGTGATAAGAATCTTCTTCTCTATCAGTAAAGTAATAGTCCTAAGAAATATATCATCTCCTTAAGGAATAACATATCTATGGATTAATCTGAAAGATAAGTCTGCACATCTTACGAAGGTATAGGATTTTTTTATTTATTTTTTACACGTATTAAGGAAGGGTTCATTTCATATTTCATCTCAGCTTCACATCTTGTTCTGTCATTTTAACTTTAAGAATTCAACACGAGAGTATATTAACTACAACCATCCTTATTCTTTAGGATTGATTAACAGAAAAAGAGTAATATAACAAAAATCCAGGAAGATTTTATCAGCATAGTGAGAGATTGAATTTATTCACATTCATTGTTTATTCCTTTCTCTCGTCCGGCTCATATTTAAGCAACGAAAATCAGAGGAACAAAGATCTAAAATTATACGTCATTTTCTAGTCGAAGAAATAAGACTCTCGTGATATATTTCCTATGATTCCCAATGTATTAAATAAGGAAATCATTATAGAAGGTCTAATTACTTATTTATCAAAGGATATGAGGGTATATAACTCATATTATGGAAACCCCGATCTATCATAAAAACATTAAGCAACTTAAGCTAAGACAAAGTGAAAGTACTATAATCAACAGCCCAAAAGAATAATGTGTCTAACAGCCCCTAAGTATTATATGATCTGAATGTACATTAATAATTAGTAGAGTTCTAAAGTTAATAAATAATACAAAAAAGCTGCTTAGTGTTCTATCCTGATCAGGATTAGATTTCAGTTAGTCGCTAAATCAAGACAAAAGTTCCCCCCACAAGAAGATCATGTAATTAAGTTACTGAAGGAGTAATTGTGGAATGATGGTGAAGTCTACAGAAGATCTAAACGGAATCAGTTCATACACCAGGCCTTATAAATTATAAGAAATAGTCTAAGCCAAATCTTTAGTCCTTAACTCTTTTTATTTCCTCGTAATAAGAGCCCGCCTATGACAGGTCATATATACAACTTCCTCAAGTGAATCTGATAATCAGGTACGAATAGCAACTTCCTTAACACCACAATTAAGAAAGGCTTCGGCGAGAAACGCCGATCCCCTGCGCAATATGTTATTAACCCCCGCCTCTTGACAAAAGCTTAGTATGTCCTATAGAGCAAGTGAGAAAATGACCAAATTGTTTAATATATAGGACCTACAAAGAAGTGATGAAAACATTAACATCAGGAACAGATAGGGAGTGACCCCCAAGATTCTACAAGCAACACGTTAAAATAGTGGTGAATACCGAAGCCGAAACTCCCTCAAGGGAATATCAACAACCTCTCGGGGCTCCTACCCAGGCGGGATAGTGAAGGAAGGACCTGAAAAAAGAACGAGACAACTAAAAATCAAAGATGCTAGCCAAGGGGAACGGGTGATAGGTAAAAACATCAAGACAAATCAGGTTCTAAACAGTATATATGAACATCCGCCAACAGTGACCAAGATTAACGAACACCACTTCCCTAAAAAGGATCCTGGACCATCCCATATCTCCAAACCCTCCCGAAGCCCCACTAGAAATTCAGTTAATTCCCCACAATACCCAAAGCTGACCTCTTATAAGTTAGAAAAAAGACGAAAAACCCCCTCCCGAGAGTTGAGCACCAAAGATTAGTTCCCCACACAAGAGGGACAGGGAGAAACGGCCCTCGTCCTAAAAGCAGAGCTAGAATGAATAGAATATCGCCCAATCCTCATCCCGAACGAAGTATCAATAAGAATGTAGAAGCACTATCTACACAACTAAAATCGTCCAGATGGCCAGGGCACAGGTGAAGGACAACAAGGCAAGAAAATCTAGTCCTGAAGAACCCCAAGCCGAAGAAACACCAGGAGTGAGAGCAGAGAAACAGCCACTAAGTAAGGTTAGATACAGGAAGCTGCAGAACCGACTAAACATCTAGAAGCCCAACTCAAATATCAACCCGAGCAATAAAGAAGGTCAAAACTCCAATACCCCTATGATAAGGGGAAGAAAAAAGCACAACAGAAAGAGAGGTAGAAAATTTGGACCCAAATCAACTTCAAGCAGGACTCTCCAAGCATATATTCACCAGAATAAAGGAGCCGAAATAACCGACCAGGTAGATTCCTACAAGAAAAAGTCACGTACAAGATCAAGAAATCTAAAATAGGGCTCATCTCATGAAACTCCCCCCCCCAAGCCACAACAACAGGAGGACGAACAAGGAAAGTCTCCCATAAGAAGCAACCCCCGAACTATAAAAAGGCTCAAATTAAGGATCCAAAGAAAAACTAATCATCAGCTCCTCCCCACAACCCTCGTCCCCACGGAACGCCAATCACGAAAGACCCCAGAACAAAGACCCCCAAGGTATAACAAGGCAAAATCTTCTCCTAACTAATTACACCTCAGCCGACGAATAGGACACCGAACACATAATTAAAAGGGACCCCTCACGCGGAACACCAGATCCTAATAACTACTCAAGACCTCGACAACACAAACCCCCCTGACCCAACCCAGAAGGTACAGCATCAAATCACAAGTGACCTAGAACCACCAAATCGTTTATCGCCCTAAGACAAAGCGCCTTACCGCAGACAAGGAAATACCACTACAGCCAAATATAGAGAAGCCGATAATCTGAGCGTGAAATGGAAAACTGACTCGGCCAAATTGAATAAATTCGACAATAACTTAAAACTCCAGACTAACGGAAACCAGTGCATAGGATGAAAGCAGGTTAAGAACAACACATAATGACAGAACAACTACCAAGCCACGTGATCGGCAGACGACCTCCACAAAAGGAGGGTACAAAGAAGTTTTGGAAAGCAGATGGCGGACTAACGGATTAGTCAACGTTGGTATATCAACAGGAGGCCTAATAGGTGAAATTATATTAGGCAAGGCAGATTCGTGGGCCTGGTCATAATCAACA